TTCTATTTTCTTTTTATTATCATATGTTAAAAAATTATTACCGTWTATGTTCCTATACTCATGAGGTAATACTAAATCGTGGATGGTCAGTGGGTTTTAAGGTAGTTTTTCATTTTTCGTTCTCACTATTTGGATTATACGAGATATCGAAGTTATACTTGGTAACTGGCCAACCACATTAACTTCAGTTGTTGAAATTGTTCTACTAATAATGTTTCTTGTGATTAAGGCATTTTCTTTCAATTGTTCTATAACTATTTTTGTCTGGATATTTGAAATAACTGGGGCATGATGATAATGAACTAACTCTTTCATAATTTTATAATCCCTTAAAAATTATTATAAATACAAATATTGTTAAAATAAAATGTAACACATACTAGTTTTAACCATTGTTGACGTAAAGCATGAGCTGCATTAATATTTTTGATAATCGACACAACGCCAAATAAACTTATCACTACCCTTATATAACATATCTGTCGTTTATTAAAGTTTGTTTGCCTTTAGGGCTTTTAACAAATTTTAAAGGCATATTTACGTGGTAGTACGTTAACACACATGGCGTAACACAAACCAATGTCACGCAGTGTGTGACGCAGTTCCGGCTCTCTCGTCTAAATTATTATCTATCGATTACTTAAAATACAATTAATATGCATTGGTAAGCGGACCATGATAGAGGGAAGTACAAAATACAATCACTATCACCATCAATCACAGATATATATAATAAACTAGATTGCTAATTGGCCTATACAGCCTGTGTATTTAATTGAAGCAACAATCCGCCATTTTAATCGAGGCCGGAACACCATATCACTTATTATTTATATTGATAACAAATGTTTTTTTTTCGATATTAGAAAAATAATTCTGTAAATCACAATTAGTTATAATTAATAATTATATAAATCAATTCAATTAAATATTTTTAGTTTTACATATAAATAGGTATATGGTATAGGTAGCTGTTATAAACTTTAGCAAGCTATTACTAAATATAACGTTGATCAGTAAATTACATATTATAAAATAAAATAGTTTTTGTCAGTTTTTGTCAGTTTTTGTCTTTTGCTTGCCGTTTTTACAATTGACGATGTCAGTATTTTACTGTAGGCATGTAGTCGTATCTTGAGGTATGTTCTGGTTATTTGGTTTATTATATCTATTTTATGTGGTTTTGTATATAATTTGGTTGTATCCCAACTATCATTACACTCTCTGAATACTGTTGAAGATGTTGCTAATTCATTTTGTACATAAATAATTATTTTTTGGTCCATGTTTTTAACAAACAATTTTTTTTATCAATTATCCATGATTTAAACAAAGTTTCTGTCAATCTAATAATTTTATAGACACTATCTGAAGGTAGTTTAAGACCGCCTCGTTGCTTTACAAATGTAAATTTCCTAATTGATTTATTATCATCTCCTTCATTGYAGTATGTATGATCATGGACACTTGGAGTATCTAGAATAGCTCGAATACAAGATTCACACTTAAAATTCTGTAAGAGTGTTTTTACTACATATCCACTGATGTAATACAAAACATTTTCAGTGATCAAACTAAGAAATGTATTGTTMCAATGATCTGCCAATAAATAATAATCAATCTCATCATTATATTGCTCTTTGGGTTTTTTATAGTTCCATTTAATCGCAAAAAGTGAATCTTCAACTGGTGACAACAATGCACAATTTCCAGAGCTCATTTTTATAGAATTATGCAATAAGATACTTTTTAGAGCATTTTTAAACTCCAAACAATTTGGGTTATTATTATGCCCAAATTTGCCCCGCATAAAACCGAAGAATATATATAAGTGRTAATGATTGATAATACTTCTGGCCTCAGATAAAATGGCGGAACTTTGATTCACGTCTTATCAATAGTTAGCAATCTAGTTTATTGTATATATCTGTGCCATCAATAACATTTTCTCTATCAGATGGAACGTTTTTATCAATGTTCGAGGGAATAGGGAGGTACCTATTTGTTATTGGAGATAATTTTCTCGGAGAAGTTTTTAATAGAGATATTTTGTTGTCTCTAGGACAAGGTAGAGTGGAGCGATTTCGTTAGGTTTAATTTCAGGCCTCATTCTGTGTACCATGAAGCTAGCAGGTCAAGATGGATTTGCATAAAAAAAACAGCTATAATGTCTGGGTCAAAGGGGCATGTAAGTAGTGCTTTGTCGTCTGCAAAGTCGGCTACCATATTGAGTTTTGATTAGTGGGTTGGTCCGTGGTGTAGATGTTAAAACTTAAAAATAAGTGGTGCAGTAACTGCACCTTGCGGGACACCGGCTTCTATTTTAGAAGTATTTGAAAAAGTTATTCCTGAGCGCACAGAGAAGATATGATTTTATAAGTATAAAGTAGATACAAGTATGGGGGGGGGGATTGTTTTAATTGTATGGAGGTATGTTGTATTCTTATACTCAATCTAAAACTAAATGTTGGTAGTGTAATTGAAAGAATGAGATTAGTTTTAAGTTTTAATATTTAGGTTAAAAACTATAAGTTATAGTTGCTGAAAATTAGTGAAGAAGATATATTGGTTTTACTTATTTATTTTGTCGGTAAATACTTTTTTAATATTCGGGTAAAAAAAGTACTGGAAAAGTTTGATGGTACTCTCGTACAGATTGTATATTATATGGTGTCTATCGGAAATGTGACGCAGGCGATAAGTAGGTACAATAAAGTAAATTTTGTATAAGCTTTCAGTAGTTTCCAAGAAGTTATAAAAAAAACATAAATTTACGGTATCTACCAATCAGGAATAACATTTTTTAGAAAAATGTTTTGGCCGTTTTGTGTAGCTCTTCTCAATCTAAAAGTAATTAATTGCTACTTCAAATTTAAATAGTGATTGATTTATCGCAGCATTTTAAAGATGTGTAGTTAAATTTCGATTTAATAATTTTTTGTTAATAATACATGTATATTTGTTAACTTCTATTCAAATTCTAGATATTGTTTAAAAATGTATTCCCAAATTCACTTAATCGTCCTAATTCAAATCTGATTTTAGAATTTCAACATGCCTATATAATAAATAAACATATAAACTTCAATAATTCCACCCTCAACTAAATTTCATTACTCCTTGGATACCGTTTATTATAATAGTCGTCATTTGTCAACATCATATTGAACTATTTTATTATCATACCAACACACTATATCATATAAACAATATTATAACATACCTACATTAAATACTATACTTATAACATTCCTAGTCATGGAACGACAGGTAATATTATAATATTATTTCTGTGTCGGTCAGCCGTGGTATTATAGCTGTAAACCTATACCACCTACCTGGTAAGTGATCGTCTTCGCGTTTCAATATTATAGCCACCCAAGACTTTATTATAATATAACATATACGCACAACTAACATAGGTAAATTGGTACTATCATGGCCGACGACGGAAGTGGCCGCAGTGAATCGCGACAGGTGTCCGTCAAGGACCTGATACCGGAGAGTCGGTTAGCGGTCGTTGYCGGTGATTTCTTCGTCTCAGATCCAGTGGTTTACGATGGCGATGACGTGTACGAAGTGAATCTGATGCCCGACGCGGATCATGCCCACCGACAAGCCTGTATCCGGTTCTCCGACATGGAGGCATGGATGTTACCTGATACCGAGTATATGTTTCTCAGATGCATTGCGGGCGCGTGAGTATGGCGATGATGATAATATTATAATGTCAAGAGAATCGATCAGAATAATAGTTAATGATTATCATTTGAAAATATTTGTGCAATACCACAATTCATGCCGATTTCTACACACTTTATATACACTTATATAACATGACGTATATAATATAATAATATATTATATTAATATAATATACGTATAACACACCCAACAACGCCTAAATTTAACTATCGTCAGAATCCAAAGCTGGTAACGATTTCAAATAGAGGGATTTCAAATTTCGGAAACGGTTATAAGTACACATGTATACGACTAATAAAAAAAATCAACTTTATTTTTAAGAATAAATAGTATAAAAGATTTTGAAATTTTCTAAATAGGTATTTGAATTTGGTTTTGATGATAATAATATATTAAGGAACAAAGATAAAAATAAAATAGTATTGAGAGCATAAAATATTAAAATCAAAATACCTATGTTTTTTAAGTTGAAAAAAAATTATGTTATATATTCAAATAAACATTGGCTGGCCTATGGTAGGTAGTAGGTACTAAGAAAATAGTAGAGGACGCCATACCCGCATGTGTTTTCTCCGTCTTAGAAGTGCATAACATAGCAAAAACTGTTTCGCGCAGGAAAGAACTGAAAAAGCTACAGTTATAACTAAGAAACGAAATTTTCACCATATAAAAAAGGAAAATTTTTTCTGCAACACTGTTTTTAATTTTTTGATATCACTTTTACAAAAAAGTTTTTATTGTTTCATATTATTTTTGTGTTTTGCACCAATAACTTTTTTTGTTGTCCAGTAGTCCTGATATTGAAAAAATAAAAAAAATACTTTACAAATAAAATTTTCCTTTTTATATGGTGAAAATTTCGTTTCTTAGTTATAATTATAACTGTAGCTTTCTCGGTTATTTCTTACGTGAAACAGTTTTTACTATGAGGCACACAACACATGAGGGTGTGGCGTCCTCTCAAGCGTATATTGATTAAATATTATAGTAGTAAATTTCAAGAGTAAATCGTCTATAATATAGGCAGTGGTCGGGATTCTGCTGTTTTTTT